GAGCGTCTCATTTCTTGTTCAAAATGCAGAGAATATTCACGCCAGACATTCCCAAGTTAACACGCCTGTGAAACCAAAGGGGGGTTGACATTTACTCCACTGTTGAAAGTTAAGCCCTTTTGATTGGCAGGGGTCAAAAATTTTAAAATTGTGCTCTATAAAATAATGGAATAGTTGCTGCTTCTCAACCAATCGGGGCCTAGGTCCTTACTGGTCGATGAGCACTAATCTGGGGTTTAACCTTTTATACTACTACATGAGAAATTTCTGCGATTTGATTGGCTTAGAGCAGTGGTATTTCAGCTTAATTTGAAATACCTACATGTGAAAATTACAACCTTTTGTGGGTAGTAGTATAAACAAATAATAGAATGATTTGTACATCATATTTGGCATAAATACCACTCGTGATATTTCAAAATTGTCTCAAATTTCACTCGCCTAACGGCTCGTGAAATTACGTATAACAATTTTTGAAATATCACTCGTGGTATTTATGCCAAATATCACTACTAATCATGCTATTACCTATACTAATCTACGACTGTTTTTACATTCCATCAATATTTAAAACTTTCTTAGAGCATCTTTTCGTACTATCTTTGCTGGATCTCAGAGTAAAGGCTCGACAATCTTATATTAGCTCCAGCTACATGTTCATCGAAAAAAACAACATCGTTTAAAATTTACTTTAACCTTGGATTAAACTTAACCCTTTAAGCCCTAAGAGTGACGAGCATCAAATTTCTCCTTGTAATATCAATGCTTTGTAAAACAGAGTGGTCATGAGAATTACTGATATGATCACAAAAGATGAATTTGCTTGATATTTTATCAACTTCTCCCCGCTACTTCTGTAGGAAATGAATCAGGGCAACAAATGAGAATTCAAATTTTGATCCTAGGGTTTAAAGGGTTAAACAACTTTCCAAACCCTTAAAAAGGACCCGACCGTGAGTAAAAGTGCTTTGGCTGTAATGCGCGCTCGTTCTCGGTTACAGACGTTTCAACAGTCGCAGGTGCTGTTTTTAACCAATCACGAGTAAAACTGGAAAATAGTATGAATCATGACAAAAGCATGAGACCTGTGCTGAAGCAGGAAAGTTTCCCGCGCTTAGAAGCGGTTGCATGCTTTTGAAGGCTATTCAAGAGGCGCAAAAAGACTGTTTAAAGGATTGGATTGGAAGTTATAAAACCAAGCAACACAACTCACCCCAACATTCCATAGTGCTTGGTTTTTACGTGATGGAGAAAGAAAATTATTGTGTGAAACAAGTTGTTCTGTCCCTGAAACAACAAAAAAAGAATGATGCCTTGAAAAGTGGATGTCTTTTTGCAATTAGAAAGTAATTTACCGAGAGAGTGTATGATAAGTGAAGACGGCCAGTTTGAATAAAACTAAGCGCGAAAAACAACATTTTGTTAAAAAACAGCAGAGAAAAAACTGGTAGTACCTTAGGCATATCATAAACTTCATCTTCAATTATGACCTAAGGAAAAAACACACAAAGCGTTCAACTCTCCTATCGAAAGAATTGAGTCATGATATCTGCAATTATTTTCTATATATTTGCCACTGCAAAAACGAAAAGGGAACTGGAGGGTAAATGCGCCTTCTACTATTTTTACCATCGTTACTGGGAACACGCCGGTCACCTATGACCAATTTTTTTTTCCGTTCCTTAGTTACAGTCCCACAAGTCTCTGCGAAAGTTAACTCGGTCCAGTTTCTTTCCCGTTTCCAAAGTGCCACAGTGAATTGGTTAGCATTAGATCCCATCGGCCTAACCCACCTCGGACACCTTATGAAGTTTACACAACGCAAGACTCACACTGACTGTAGTGATTAAGGATAAGCAATACTGATTAGGGTTAGGCACTGAAATAGTGATTAGGGTTAAGCACTGACTGGAAACGGTTAGCTTCTATTTAGGGTTAGGGTTGTTGATTTTCAAGTTCAAACCAAATCATCTCTAGCCAGCCAATCCTCTGTGGCCTTGCGGTAAGGTGATAACCTGCAGACCTCACACTCCGAGTTCGATACCCACTCACGCTCTTCGGATTTTTTTTCCTTGAAAATAGAAGAGAGATACACTTTGATGAACATTTGCTGAGCAGAATTTCATTTAAGTGTAGTATGGAAGCAAGAAAGAATACTAGGTTACGTAAACTTCATAAGGTGACCAAAGGTTTTGGGCCAATGGGATATAATGCTGACCCAGTGAATTTAGTGTCAAATCAGAAGCAACAAGCTTCAAAACTTGAGACATCTAGACCCCACTATCAAGCTCAGTATACCTTCGTCGCAAAGACCTAGAATTAAAAAAATAATAATAACTGTAGGTTTTTTACTCTAATTGTTCTATACCTTGAAGTGAGGTGGGTGAAGACGGGATTGGTAAATACACAGGTCACTCTTCCGAGCACCTTCAAACAAAAGCATCATAACGTATCAGATTGAATAAAATGTTCTTTTTAACTTTTTTATAATTCATGTGCTTGCATGTACAATAGTTCAAACAAGATTTAACAAGGACGACACGAAGGAGGACTATTTAACACAATTCTCTCCTTTAAAAGGAGAAAATCATATCAGTAAACGTTCCAGAACAGCAAGCAAAGGCCATTTATGACGCCCATCATTTGCTTGCCTATCTGTAATTCCCTACAATTTCTCTTACATATAGTCACATATCAATAGTAGCCACTCTACGAGTAGAGCCGCGTTTAGTTCTGCTTGTATGTATACTTGAAGAGTTTTTTGTTTTAATTCCACAAGGCCTTCGCTTTTCAAAGAACAAATTAGTTAAATGTGAGACTTACTCGGTTTATCCGGTGTCTTGAGGAAATGTAATCCTGTGAATGTTCTTCCATCCGGGAATGAGGGGTCTGCGGGTAGCCTCGAATCCATATATGTACAAAACATGTGCAACAGCAACTGAAAATAAAAAAAAAATCATCGTTTGCATTATGTACGCGACGCGGAGCTACGCGGGGTCCTTTTCTTCGGTTTGGTGTCTTCGTACTTAACAGAACAGTCAACTAATCGTTCCAACGACTAGACTACGGAATTAGTTTGACATAACCGATAGCCTTTGACTCCCAAAGTCAATTAAGGAGTATAGTAAGGTCGTTATAACGTTTTTATCTGTCGACAAACTCCTGTAGTTAGACCATTAAAAAAAAAGAAAGATGGCCCGGAAGACTTGTCAGCTGCACAGATTCAGCTGAGTACTCTGTGAGTTCTATGTCGAAAAATTAAGGCTCCAAAGGAAACATTTTATTGAGAATTCTTTAAAATTTTGTTTAACGGATAGGCCTGTCGCTCAATATTGAGATTTTCAAACCGAATCGTAACAGATTCTGTAAAAACAGGTAGTCGATGACTACATGTGGCTACTCCTGCAAAGTAGAATGCAAATTGGACAGGCTTCATTCCTTCTATTAACTGAATAATAACATGTACAAGCCCTCGGGATAACAGACATCGAAAATATCATAAAGTAAACGATAGTTAAGATCGAATGATGGATACAAATTCCTGAATATTCATATTAATTCATGACGGTAAAAAACAACAGCAAACAATGAAGTTTTTTTATCAAAAGGTAACGCGTTTGAATCTGCCTCCGAATGTCTATCAGGTGCAGATTCAAGAGACTAGCTGATCTGTGAAATTATGCCTTTTGAACGTTAAGATAATATTGTAAACAACCACAACGACGAGTAGGTGTCCTGTTTTAATCTGCTCAAAATGTGCATGAGTTGCACCATATTTACAAGGTCAACGGACTGGACAATTGCTAAACAATGATTTTTGAGCCATAACAGTGTGTAACACAACAATAAATAACAATTTCTCTAAAGAAAGTTATCCTATTTGAATCAATGTGCTACTTCTTTTTGTCTCGAAAGACATTTTCTGTTCTCGTAAGGAAATTACGAAAGTCATTTCTATGCCGTGTTTGCACGACTACGACGTGAAATTGCCTAATTTTACACTTTATGGAGGACGTAAACAAGGGACGAAGCAATTTTTTTCCGCACCAGGTGGGTTCGCCTACTTTTTCTAAAGGTTGCACCTAAGTCTGTTCTAATAGGGTGTCTAAAAATTCTTGCAAGGAATATTTTAACAAATCAAGTCAATAACAGCCGCCTACTCCAAACTTCGAATGTTTGGCGCCAAACATTTTACGTTTGCACAAAATAAGAACATGTTACGACGGTAATCGCGCCGGATAAAGACTGGAAGAATGTAAATTCACTTTTTAAGCGACGCTTTCGCTGCCATCGCGTCGTCGGATCTTCAAGTCCCTAATTTTGTGGTAGTTGTTGTTTGACAAAAGCAAGGTCAAAGCAAACCTGTGAATCAGCTAAGAGATCCTGTTCCCATAATTTTCCTCTGTATTGACCTCCTGAATTCCAGCGATACAGGCCCATACAACCACCTTGGGCAAGCTCTAAAGTGACAAACAATGTAGAAAATTTTGATTAGCCACAATAAAGGTAACACAGGGTCGCGAGAGAAGAAAAAAACTCCGCCTGTTTGACGACCCGAAAAACGCGAGTCCTTAAGCTTACGCTTCACATTCTGCCATTGTCATGTTGGCCAACATCGCAACATTTTAGACAATGAACGCAATATAAAATTCAGTTGCAAGAAAATGTTGTCGCAACATTTCCGACCATGCGTTGTCACCGAGTACACTACCGTTGAGGCAACAGTTAGCGCAAAGGAGCGGAAGTGTGACATTAAATTAGGTTGCATTGAAAGCGACAACATGCAAGCATACTTGTAGCTAAATATCAAAAAGGCAGAAAAAGCACGATCACGTGTCGTTTCACGTGACATGAACACGTGCTGGTCCGTGACCATAAGTTCTAAAGGATCACCAACCCGCTTTATTTTCCTTTTTTTTCCGAGTGAATTACTTTTAAATCTACAGGCAAAGGAAATACAAACCTGACAGACGTTGTACTAGATATTCCTGATTGTTAGA